AGCTGTAATTGTGCCACAGCACTCCAGCCTAGGTGACAGAGCTAGACCCTGCCTCTTAAAAAATAATAACAAAGGGGCCAGGTGCGGTGGCTCATGCCTATAATCCCAGCACTTTGGGAGGCTGAGGCAGGTGGATCACGAGGTCAAGAGATCGAGACCATCCTGGTCAACATGCTGAAACCCCGTCTCTACTAAAAATACAAAAAGTTAGCTGGGCATGGTGGCACGTGTCTGTAATCTCAGCTACTTAGGAGGCTGAGGCAGGAGAATTGCCTGAACCCAGGAGGCGGAGGTTGTGGTGAGCCGAGACCACACCATTGCACTCCAGCCTGGGTAACAAGAGCAAAACTCCATCTCAAAAAATAATAATAATAATAACAAAGTATTTCATAAGCTGTTTGTAGTAAGAGACATGACTAGATCTGTGCTTAGAAAAATGCTGTGGCCGTAGGTATAGGAGGTTGAACCAGCACACACTTGGCAGAGGGCTGAATCACGAAGGTGATGATGGGGAGTCACCACTTTAGAATATACCAGTGTGGAAGCTGGAGCAGCTACCACATCTCTCTCACAGGACTGCAGTCCTGAAAGAGAAAGAATTTAAATGCATACTGCCAAATGTTCACTGATATGTCCATTTCTGTTATATGTTCAATGTCACACAGCTAGCTGGTATAGCAGAGGAAGTATGGGAACCCAGATACAAACTACATAACTATCTACTAATGATATGGTTTGGCTGTATCACCACCCAAATCTCATCTCGAACTGTAGTTCCCATAACCCCCACATGTATGGGAACTATGTTATGTTATGGGAGGTAATTGAATCATGGTGGCAGTTAATCCCATGCAGCTGTCCTCCTGATAGTGAGTTCTCACAAGATCTGATGGATTTGTAAGGAGGTTTCCCTCCTTTTGCTGGGCACTTCACCTTTCTGCTGCCATGTGAAGATGGACATGCTGCTTCCCATTCCACCATGACTGTAAGTTTCCTGAGGCCTCCTTAGCCATGCTGAGCTGTGAGTCAATTAAACCTCTTTCCTTTAAAAATTGCCCAGTCTCAGGTATGTCTTTATTAGCCACATGAGAATGGACTAACATACCCAGTCATCCCATTTTTTTTTCCCTGGAAAAGAGATCTTGGGATTACCAAGAATGGATAATAATATCTAACAACAACAGTCTTTCTCAGACAAGAAAATGGCAGGGTCGGGGCAGGGGTGTAGGGAGACTGAAACGTGCTTCTTAAACAGGAACCAGAGTTCCTACAACTTAACACTGGGTAGGAGAGCTCTGGGTTTTAAGGTTGCTTGCTACTTACCTGCTTTGTCTTCTCTCCATATTCTCTGTTGTGATTATAAAAAGAGATGTCAGATCCCTGCATACGATCAGGAAATGGTGGCCACAAGTAAGGTAATAGACATATCCAGCCATCCCTAAACTTTTTACACAGGGGGCCAGTTCACTGTCCCTCAGACGATTGGAGGGCCACCACATACTGTGCTCCTCTCACTGACCACCAATGGAAGAGGTGCCCCTTCCTGAAGTGCGGTGGGGGGCCGGCTAAATGGCCTCAGGGGGCCGCATGCAGCCCGCAGGCTGTAGTTTGGGGACGCCTGATTATAGACCATCTCAAATTTTCCTTGTGACTCTAGTTTTTTTGTTTGTTTATTGGGCGTTTTGGTGGATTTTTATGTGTTTGCTTTTGCAATAAGAAAATGCAAGATCTACCTCTTAACCAATTTTTCAGTGTACAATACAGTCTTGTTAACTTTGGTCACAGTTAAATTGCACAACAGATCTCCAGAACTTACTCATCTTTCATATGTCCAAACTCATCAAGTTATATATATTAAATATATACAGGCTTTTGTATTTCAGTTATACCTCTATCAAGCTGTTTTTAAAAAGATGTTAAATCTAGAAGGGATTTGGTCCAACGTTTAGTCCAGAGTCTTGCAAGTGTGTGTCACAGCACAACAGGGAAGGACAGTCCCTCCAGAAGTGTGCTGCTGACGAGGTGCAGTGGCTCATACCTGTAATCCCAGCACTTTGGGAGGCTGAGGCAGGTGAGTCACCTGAGGTCGGGGGCTCGAGACTAAACTGGTCAACATGTGAAACACTGTTTCCACCGAAAGTACAAAATTTAGCTGGGCACACTGGTGCTCACCTGTAATCCAGCTACTAGGAAGGCTGAGGTACAAGAATCGCTTAAATTCAGGAGACAGAGAGGTTGCAGTGAGCTGAGATCATACCACTGAACTCCAACCTGGGCAGCAGAGGGAGACTAACACACACACACACACACAGACACACACACACACACACACACACACACACACACACAAAATGCATGCTGCCAAATGTTCACTGATATGTCCATTTCTGTTACATGTGAATTGCTATTATGGCAATGCTGTCCAGCAGAAATGGAACTGAGCAGGTTGTATAATCTGATAAAAAGAGATCGCTGAGACCAAGAGCTAAGCCGTGTGACCTTTACCAGAACACACACGAAAACACTGAGAACAGGCAAGAGAAGCCAAGGGGAGAGCAGTAACTGGTTCTACTGAAACAGCTTCCCAGACCTAAAGGGTGACAGAGCTTAGAGCCCTAAGAGGGCACTATTATACCATGAGACTTTGTTGTACTGATAGGATCATTATGGGGTAAATTGGTGTAGCTCAGAGGCTTTCATCCCTTCAAGAAGTACTACCAGAACTCCTAGTGTACCTCAAATCCCCCAAAATTAAAACCACTCCTCTAACCCATAGGGAAAGCCCAGGTGACGTGACACCAAACTGGGTTAGGACCCAGGTCTCTATCACATGTCTACTACTAAAGCCATCCACATAAAAGACCTCCCATTTAGAAGCAGAACAACAATAAATATGAATTTTAAAATATGTAAGCTAATGCTTGAAAATCTGAAGTTTAAAATAAAACCACTGGTGATTTTAATGCCAGGGTTCCAAATACAAATTTGATTTCAAATATTATTTTATTCTTTCCTCCAAATAATGTTAAGAAGCTGGTAGAGGAGAATCTGCTTAGATTTGTTTATTTATAGATGACTCAGAGTTTTTGTGAATGTCGAAATCTCCAGAAGGAAGAGAAATACATTCAATATTAAGGAAACAACTGCTCGGAATGAGCCAACATCCATCTTAATAAATTAACTTTCGGTATCAGACTCATCTTAACGGTCTCCACAGATTTTCTTAGTCCCACTGTCTCTTAGCTCCCTGCTTTGCTGTCAGGGTGACCAGCTCTGTACCAGCCAGAGTCTCTAGCTCCTACCACCAAGTCCAGATTTGGATGAACCTTCATACCACAAGGCATAGAATCTCACTCCCCCAGGGCATGACTGAAGGGCAGATCACACAACCCAGAAATGCCAGGGAGTTACCGCCCTAGGGCAGAACTTTAACCTCCCTCCCCCTCCCCTCCCCTTCCCCCAATCCCCCTCCCCCTCCTCTCCCTCTCTCCTCCCCTCTTCTTCCCTCCCCTTCCCTCCCCTCCCCCTCCCCTCCCCCTCCCCTCTTTTCTATTCCCTTCCTCTCCCCCACTTCTTTCTGTTGGGGGGTTTGTTTCTGTCTCTAGAGACTTGACTTTTAAGAGTCAACACATACACATTTAAGTGGCATTCATACAACCTTATCTAAGAATGGAGAATATTACCTCTGAAAAATCCTTCAACATATAAATTTCAATGAGCGTAATTAGGACTTCAGTGGGACAAAATCACCATTTTTATTCTCTTTTTGATGAAAGCTGCAATGCTGAACTAAGACAAGCAATGAGTATAATGCCTTTTTTTTTTTTTTTTTTTTTTTTTCAGAGATCGGCCTTTGGTGCATTTAAAATCTCTCTGCATACATTTTTACTGTAAAAACCTGCATCATCTTTATTACTGTAGGTAATAAAGAGAAGCCAAAATCCAAGATGCATGTACCAAGCTCCTCCATGCCTCGGGAGACGTTCCAGCTTCCTCTTGTATAATATGTTAAGTATAGCCTTGTGCCAGGAGCTGTTCTATATACTTTATATACCTTCATTTAGTTACTTTTTACAATGATCCAAGAAGTGGATGTTATTGTTCTTTTCTTTTTTTTTTTTTTCTTTTTTTTTTTTTGAGACAGAGTTTCACTCTTGTTACCCAGGCTAGAGTGCAATGGCACGATCTCGGCTCACCGCAACCTCCGCCTCCTGGGTTCAGGCAATTCTGTCTCAGCCTCCTGAGTAGTTGGGACGCACCACCATGCCCAGCTAATTTCTTGTATTTTTAGTAGAGACGGGGTTTCACCTTGTTGACCAGGATGGTCTCGATCTCTTGACCTTGTGATCCACCCGCCTCGGCCTCCCAAAGTGCTGGGATTACAGGCTTGAGCCACCGCGCCCGGCATGGATGTTATTGTTACTTCCATTTTCCAGGGGAGAAACTGACGCTCAGATTGCTTAGGTCATGTGATGGTTAATACTAAGTGTCAGCTCGATTGGATTGAAAGATCCAAAGTATGGATCCTGGGTGTATCTGTGATGGTATTGACAAAGGAGATGAACGTTTGAGTCAGTGGGCTGGGGAAGGCGGAACCACCCTTAATCTGGGTGGGCACTGTCTAATCAGCTGCCAGGGAGGCTAGAATATAAGCAGGCAGAAAAATGTGAAAAGAGAAACTGGCCTAGGCTCCCAGCCTCCATGTTTCTCCCGTACTGGATGCTTCCTGCCCTTGAACTCCAAGTTCTCAGTTTTGGAACTTGGAGTAGCTCTCCTGGCTCCTCAGCTTGCAGATAACCTATCGTGTGACCTTGTGATTATGTGAGTTAATACTTAAACTTCCCTTCATATATGTGTCGATCCTATTAGTTCTGTCCGTCTAGTCAGGGTCCCTCTAGGATATCACCCTGACTAATACAGGTAATGTCCACCGCCACAAGGCATATCGAAGAGGCAAAGCTAACTGATCACACAGTGCTTGCTCTCTGCCACATTCTTACCTGTGACTTCCATCCAGGGTTACAGGTGGCTGCCACTCTCAGGTCGCGGGGAGGGAGTCTAGGTGCCATCAGCATAAAGAGGATGGTGAAAACGGCGCACGCTGCAGGAAAAGAAGCAGAGAATGACGCCACGCTGTCCCCACGTCCCTGTCTCATTGCTTTCACTCCCGGCCAGCCGCCACGCTGACGTCTTCCCCAGGGGCAGATGTCAAAATCAAGGTCCTAGAGAAAACCTGGCCTCGCACTATCAGGTGGAAAGGAGGGGCACGGGGGTGAGTGCTCGTCCTTCCGTGGACCTCGGCAGCCCTGGAGGAGAGGAGGGAAGGCCACCCGGGCACTGGCCATTTCTCTCTGTACCCCCGTGTCTCCCTTGAGCCCCCCATCACACACCTCCAACCACAATTTAACCTACCACCCGCTCAGGATCATCTGGCTTTGAGCGATGACTCCCTCACATTTTATTGAGACTCCTTTTAATTGCTGAGGGAAAACAGATGCATCGTGATGGACTCTAAAAAGTTCATGGGAGACTGTTTGGGGGTTCTCTGGCCTTTGACTGCGCTGCAGCTGGAGAAGCAAACTTTCTGTTCCTTTCTGCCTCACTAGCCAGGGTTTCCTAAGCTTTGCACTGCTTCCTTGGCCGAACCCCCTCCTCTGGTTCTTCCCTCCTCTGTCCCTCCTGCACACCCCGACCAAGTGTGCCAAGCCTGTCCCTGTGCTCCCAGAACATTGGGTCATCAGCTCTGAGTCAGATTCCCGCCCCTACCTGGCACCACCCCAAGTTGGGCAGTTAGCCCAAAGCACTGAACAAGACTTCCCTCTTCCTGTCCTCTCTCCCCAGGCGGGAGCCCGTCGCTCCCCTCTTTCTTCTTTTTTTATTTTTTTATTTTTTTATTTTTATTTTTTTTTATTTGAAAATTTCGCTCTTGTTACCCAGGCTGGAGTGCAATGGCGCCATCTCGGCTCACCGCAACCTGCGCCTCCTGGGTTCAGGCAATTCTCCTGCCTCAGCCTCCTCAGTAGCTGGGATTACAGGCACGCGCCACCATGCGCAGCTAATTTTTTTTTTTTTTTTTTTTTTTTTTTTTTTTTTTTTTTTTGTATTTTTAGTAGATGCGGGGTTTCACCATGTTGACCAGGATGGTCTCAATCTCTTGACCTCGTGATCCACCCGCCTCGACCTCCCAAAGTGCTGGCATTACAGTCTTGAGCCACCGAGCCCGGCCAACTTCCTCAGGCTTCTTAATGCCTCACATTCTTCCTTTCATTGAAAACCCGCAGAATCAAAAAAAAAAAAAAAAAAAAAGATACACCACGGTGCAATTATTTTAATTCATTTCTATGATAAATATTTTCATGGCCTAATCTTTGTCAGGAACCGGGATAATATTTGACCTTTGGCGGGCATTCCACGCCTGTGAACAACACGTCCTAAGTCAAGAGCAAGCAACTGTGTGGATAGGGGTGAAAAGCCACAGGGCAGTTCAGGGCAACTGCTGGAGATTAATGTTCATGCAGGGAGGGGCAGGCATGGGGACCAGAGGGTAGGCAGGGTCGGTCAAGGTCCTAGTGGAAAGGCGGGGCCCCCCAGGAACACATACAGTCTGCACCCCATGCTCACCAGGAGCTGAGACACTTTGAGCTGGTGTGCATTCTAACACGGTACTTTTACTGAAGAGTAGGATAATGTGGCATTCGTTTTTGCCTGTCTTAGGAGGGGCTTATATTCTAATAAAAGTTAAAACTCAAGCTGAATAAACGAAACTCTAACTTTCGAATTCAGGAGTCCTTGTACAGGGAAGGCAGGGATTAGGGAGAAGATAGGCACCTCAGCCCATGGAAACTACAACAGGAAAATCACTCCCTACACCCACCGTCCTGCCTGTTCTCCAGATCTTGAAGAGTGACATAACCAGCAGAAGGAAAAACCAGTCCCTGAATCCCACCCCGCCCCCACTCAGTTCACTCCTTCTTTTGTTAAAACTTTCTGTAGAGAGCGATGACTGAGAGGATCAAAGCATCCACTTCCTTCCCTTTGATGTGTGGTCCGAGACAGGCTCTGATGTCAGCCACGTGTTGTATTTCATTAGATCTGATATTAAGCTTCCCAGAGGTCAGGACGACCACGCTGCTTTAACCAGGCTATAAGCAGGTTCACTTTGCTGGAAATATCAGAGATCCCAGCACCTTTCAGACCCACTAGGAAATTATACCGGTAAAGAAGTTGAAGTGTCTTTTCTTGATCTTTACTGCTTTGCATTACGAGACCTCTCTTCAAGCTTACTTTTCTGCCAAAACAGTCCAGATTCTGCATTCCGAAATCATATTCCTTCTGCATGTCACATTTTGGAGCTTCAAGCAGGTATGAAGAGGAGCAAGTTTTGGAGAAAGCGCCTACTTTCTCTAAAACTGAGCCTCCGCTGATTTTAAGCCCTGGGTTATCCTCTAGCCAAGTAAGATGAGCTCTGAGCAATAGCACGAGATTTGCTAGTGGTATTTTGAGAACCAGAGTACAAACTCTAATTAGCCTCTCCCCAGAGAAAATTTTTAACCATAAATTTTCTCCTGTCTGGAAAACAAGCGGTTTATGCTGCACAAGCTGCACATATGCCCCAAAGGAATAAGTTTCATAGCGCATCTTGATTTCAGGCTGCATTCTGAATTTGCTATGGGAAAGTGCTTTTAATGGAAAAACTGAGACTTTCATCTGAGTTAAGGCTGTTCATTTCCAAGGCCACATTGAAGGCTCAGGCAAAGCCCTGAACCCATCTCCCCTGTGACTAAAGTCACCTTGTCTGCAAAATAGGGAAGTAGTTCTTAACACCACTCAGCGGGCTTCAGGTTCCCCAAAAACAATCTTAGCATGCTCAAAAAAAAAAAAAATGAATAAATCAGAGTTGTCACCCAAAAAAGAAAAAGAGAGAGAGAATTCTGTTGGACTTCCTTATCATTACTTCGTGTTTTCATATGTATTTTGAAATTTTCTATCACTTGATGAGATTATCCTCTTTTCAGTCCTTAGGGCATCTGGAAGCCTTTAGGAGCCCCAGATGGGAGTAGGCCTCTTGACCCTTTTCCCCAAGGCTCTGTGAGTCTCACAGCTAAGCCATTTACCTTCCTCTCTTAGTGCCCCCTGGCCCTCGGGTGCCCTTAAGTCTCGCTCCTGTTGGTGAAGAGCAAGGCAGATGCCCCCACTTTGTCCGTTGCCCTAAAAACAATTACAGAGTCCTTTCATTTGTAGAGTTTTATTCCCTGCTCATTTTCTGGAGACAGAAAAAAACCAGGTACAGGGAATTTGCTGCAGGCAGTCCTTGTTCCTGAAGTTCTCAGCAGATGCCTGCAGATCAGGGCTTATGTCCCGGCTCTGCCTCTCACAACAAGGTGACCTTGGTGACTCTCCCAACCGTTCTCAGCTCAGTCCCCTCATCTGTAAAACTTACTCAGAGCACTGTGTGAGGAGTAAGTGAGGATTAAGTAAGGATTCAGAAGGCAGCTTTCTCACTTGCCTTCTGAGATCATGTCTCACGCCTCTTCCTCTCTCTCGCCCTCGTCTTCATTCTAACCACAAGGAACTGAAGATGGCATGTCCCATCAGGGGTTTTGCATGAGCCTTTCTCTGGCTAAAATGCCCTTTCTTCCCTTCTCTGCTATGCTGTCCTTTCCTCCCACCCTGACCTGTGCTGTCCCATTTTATTCTATCCAGTCCTGTCCTATGCTTTCCTCAAAACTCAGGTCTATTTTCTCCAGGAAGGCTTCTCAGAGTGTTAGTAACTCTCTCTCCAGGATGCTGTAGAATTTCAAATGAACGTGACGATGTGACATGTACTGCGAGTTTGTCTACCTATTTCAGCTAGACTAAGATCGCTACGAGCAGAGATCAAGTCTTTTGCAGTTTTCTAAACTTATGTGGCACTTCTGTTAATAATAGTAGCTACCTTAAGTTTATTACATGCTAGGCAATGTGCTATTCATTCATTCATTTACTCACTCACAAATGTTTATGGAGTACCTGTAGTCGTCCTAAAAGCCTATTTTAAGTGCTTACCATATGTATGTGTCTATGCATCCAGAAAAGTTCCACATTTATACTTTTGAATAAAAAGGATGTTTATGTCCAGCTGCATAACGTACAAGTTAGTGGGCCTTAATAAATTGGTAAATTCTGGGCTGGATGCGGTGGCTCACACTTGTAATCCCAGCACTTTGGGAGGCCGAGGCGGGCGGATCACAAGGTCAAGAGATTAAGACCATCCTGGCCAACATGGTGAAACTCCGTCTCTACTAAAAATACAAAAAAAATTAGCTGGGTGTGGTGGTGCACACCTGTAGTCCCAGCTACTCAGGAGGCTGAGGCAGAAGAATTGCTTGAACCCGGGAGGCGGAGGTTGCAGTGAGCCGAGGTCATGCCACTGAACTCCAGCCTGGCGCCTGGTGACAGAGTGAGACTCTGTCTCAAAAAAATTAATAAATAAATAAATTGGTAAATTCTGTAATTCTCTGAATGCCAAACAGGATTGATAACAACAATAATAACAAAACTCTTTAAGGCATATTGTAATGAAAAGTAAGATTCAAAAAAACTATATCATAAAATAGCTTCTAGAGAGGAAAGGAAGACTGACTACAAAAAAATAGGAATCTGATGTGTGGCCGGGCGCAGTGGCTCACGCCTGTAATCCCAGCACTTTGGGAGGCCGAGGCGGGTGGATCACGAGGTCGAGATCGAGACCATCCTGGTCAACATGGTGAAACCCCGCATCTACTAAAATTACAAAAAATTAGCTGGACATGGTGGCACGTGCCTGTAATCCCAGCTACTCAGGAGGCTGAGGCAGGAGAATTGCTTGAACCCAGGAGGCGGAGGTTGCGGTGAGCCGAGATCGCGCCATTGCACTCCAGCCTGGGTAACAAGAGCGAAACTCCGTCTCAAAAAAAAAAAAAAAAAAGAATTTGATTTGTATCAGACTTCTCAGCACTGAGAACAAGAAGAATGAGGGGGTAATTAATACCTTCCAAAATGTGCGAGGAAGAAAAGAACTTTGAATCTAAATTTTCTCGTCAGCCATGGCCTGAGGAGGATACCATGAACTGAGAAGTATGATCATCTCATTTCTGTACCTCAAGGGTAAGTGAGAGAGAGCATGGAAAACATAAGCCTGGGTGGGTGTCACAGCTGAAGACCGAGAAGGAGAGAAATCTTGGTGCTTGAGACACTCTGTTCCCAGGATAATATATGTGATCTTAATGCCCACTCCTCTGGTGCCAGCTTGTGGCACTACATAGGATGGTGATAGCAGAAGTCAGACTCATATTTAAGGTGCTGCCTGAAGTTTAACCGATCACTGACTTCATCACACTGTCTTTCCTTTCTAATGATTGGAGTTGAATAGATTCCATGGCATTCCTAACCTATGAGCAAGTGATTAGAAAACATTTTTAATCATACTCACCAAGCTCTATAGAAACTGTAACATTGGCCCAAAGAAACCAGCTAGAGTAACCAGGTTCCAGGTGTATGTCACCAGATAACAGACGGATTTCTTTCTTTTTTTTTTTTTTTTTTTTAACTTTTATTTTTCGAGAGAGAGTCTCACTCTGCTTCTCAGGCTGCAGTGCAGTGGTGCGCAATCTTGGCTCACAGAAACCTCCCCCTCCTGGAGAACCCCAATTTCTGATTC